TGGGGCTGTCGGCGGGGGTGACGCCCCCCCGACGCTCATCTATAAACTCGGAGCACGGAAAACACTGCACGATGCCCAAGTGTCGTCCGAAACTGGCAGCGGCCGCGGTTGGGCAGGCAGGCTTCGGTCTCAAACGGACAAGGCCCGCGGCGGCGCCGACAGCAAATCCTGTTCAAATTGGACAGAAGTGCTGTGAATCCCACTTTTGTTCCGCCCTCCTGGCGATCGTACCGATGGAAAGGCCTCGGGGCTGCGCGCGGAAAATCCCTGGAGGCAGTCCTGGCTGGCGGCGGGGAGGCGAGAGGAATGAAAGACCATGGAAGCCTCACATCCGGGCAGCGCGAAACAAGATCGTCACGGCGGGAGTTTCTGCCCCGTTCTATACCCCGGAAGCGCCCTCGCGCATCGGCCTGGCCCCGGAAAGATCGCGCGCAGAGATGGGCTCTCGAGTCCAGCCGCAAATGCTTTCAACGTCGTGTTATTTGTCCACGACGTCGGATGCTGGGGATGCTGGGGAAGCGGCATGGCGGGACAAGCAGGAGCAAAAATGGCGGCGAGAGGCATGCTTCATGTCCGCCACTCTGTCACTATCCGTCGCGTCGGCTGCCACTGCAGCAACCTGGCGCAAAGCCGGTACTTATCGGATGAGTTGGCGCCTTGCTTACTCCGGATTCCATAACAAAGTGGGGGGGGTCACAGTCGGGGGGGGGTCTAATCTGAGCTGTCTTGGAGGGTTCGGGGGGGTCTGGGCAAAGGGCCGCCCTTTGATGGATAGTCTGGGGGGTCTAAAACTTCTCGACTGGGAGAGTTGTGACCCCCTCCCTTTTATTACGAAATCTGGAGTAACCAAACAGACGATGACTGCGACTTGTGTAAAATTGTTTTGCTATTGTTTGTATTCCTTGATTTGGGAAAGCTGCTCTCGGGCGGCCCGTCGGCTCCCGAAGGCCTGTCTCTCGTCGCCGGCTGCTGGCTGCCCCTGCTTTTGCACCTCCCCGTGCCTCTAATTGGGTGCATATCTGCCTATGCCAACTTACAGGGCAGTTTTTAATACATATGATTTCCCCCCCCCCCCCCCCAAAAAAAAACATGACTAGTTTATGAATAAATGAATGCATGAACTCATCGTTGCTTTTGATCCTGAATCCCTGCGTTTTTAATACATGATCCGCACGCGGAGCATGCATTAAAAACGGCACTGTATCGTTGCTCGCCTTGGCCGACCTGATTCCACCAGCCCCATGGACGTGGGTGGTTGAGCAAATCCAGGACGGCCTAGCCATGCGGGCGCCCTCGCCAAGGCCTGTCGGGGGGTCCCTCCAAGGGTAAACAAGTTCGCGAGGGCGCGGTACTGAGGCGACGAACGCGACGACGACGATCATGACGACGACCAAAGGCACCTGGCAGCGATGAGAAGCAAACAGAAAGCGAAGAAAAGTGAGGAGGCGAATTGGGCACGCAAAAAGCGCAACTTAAACCCAAGGACCAGCCAGCTCCTCCGAGTCGCTCGGGGGCAGCGACGACGAGCAAAGAGGGGGGAAGGACGTGAGTGGGCGCGCGCGGCTCGCTGCTGGAAACAACGACACCAGGGACCCCGCATCCGCTGAAGAAAAGCAGCGTCGATGATCCTCAAAACTGCGTTAGCGCCAACGTGTGTTGTCCACCGACGCTCTGCGAGACGACGCAGGCGGCAGAATGAAGGCCGACGCAGACTGCGAGCTATCGATGGATCTGGACGGGGTAGCACACATACACACACATTGGGCTAAAACGCGCCCCGAAGACCGTCGACAGGGCGACGGCGGCGACGAACAAGGGGAGAGGGGAGAAGGAAGAGTGCAGCGCGCGCGGCGCGCAGCTGAAAGCAAGGGCCCACCAGCTGAGCCTGCGGCCTGGCTGACACTCCGTCGGGCTCCTGTGGGAGCCCTTTGCTGGCTCCACTTGAAGCCTTTTTGCGACAGCTGGCGTCGTCTGATCGTTTCCGAAGACAACGCGAGGCCGCGGAAACGAAAGGATAAGCACAATCACAACATTGTAGATCAGTGGTTTGGGCATCCTCTGGCAAGGTTCTGGGCACACATGAGAGCGCCACCTGGGCGCCTGTCGTAAGATGCGTCAGACACACAGCCTCTGGAAGGGGGGCCAATCGAGCCCAAGGGCCGACGAAACAGCACGCCCGAGGGGAAGGCACCAGCGACATGCGTGGCACCGATCCTGCCCAGGCCCCTCTTCTAGAGACCCCCTGGATGGGGTCGGAATAGCTGGCGTCGGAGGATCGCGCCGCATCGCCGACGCATCGACGATGCATCGGCGATGGTGCATCGGCGACGCCGGCGTGGAGAAAATCGGGCTGCACATCGAGCCGCATCACCGATGCATCGGCGATGCGGCGCGATCCTCCGACCCCCCTCCACTTCGACCCCATAATTATAGGAAGCCTAGACCAGGCCCCCCCTCCATCCGGGCCGGGGAGCGGCGCCTCATCCTTCCGGCCTGGGCCAGGAGGGCGCACAACCTGGCCGGGGGCCAATGATCGGCCCAGCCAGGATCCGTGCCAGGTGCGCCTCTCGGCGCAGGGACAGTTGCCACGACGTCTGCCTCCGCGGATCGCACCGCGGGCGCAGACCCATGCCGTGGGGCCACTCGCGAGCGGTCGAGGTCCTCCGGTGGACGAGAAGTTGCAACGGCGGCGGCGCAGAGTCGGTCCCAGGATCGGTGCCAGGCGTATGATGAGCTGGCCAACTTTTAGCCTTGATCACCAGAAAGGATCTCGAGCAGCACCAGGAATGTGCCCCAACTGGGGGGATTTCGGGTGTCGGGCCTTGGAAGCGATGCTCGTTCGACACCCCGCTGGAGTGTCGGGCAGACACTGCTTCGATACTCTTCCGGGTGTTCCGAATGATTTTTGGGATGTGGTCCTTAAGTACGATGGGAAGAACATGATACCGTATGTGCATATCCGAGCATGGCGAGTTGAGACGACGGCGGCTCAAAGTCGACAAAGTCGGTCCGAGCACCCCACCTGGGGCCCAAGCGCACTGGTGTTCCGTGATGCGTCCCGCCGTGGCGGCAACGGGTCCTCCCGAAGGCCAACTACCGCTGTCTCAACTCGCCCTCCTCGTTGGCAACTGATTGGAGCCTCCCGTGCCATCTTGCTGGCTCTCGCGAACCGACGCTCGCCGACGCCATTTCCACACTAATCGACGCTCATCGGCGCCACTTCGACGCTCATCGACGCTGAGCCGGCGCTTCCTCATCGACTACCAGACGCTAGTGCACGCTAATTACACCACTCTGAAAACTGAGTGTCGAGGACACAGAAGTCGGCGGCGCGCACAAGGGGGTGGAGGGAGGGGGGAAGGCTTCTTAGAAGGCGGCTGCTTCTGAAAAGCCCTGGCCCCATCTCCCCGCTGGCGGCACTCTGAAGGCTGAACTCCGAGATCACAGAAGGCTCCTATGACTTGCCGCCGAGCAAGACGAAGCCAGGAGGAGGACACATTCGGCCGAGGATGAAATCAAGAATCTCTGAGATCTGGCGGCTCTGGAAGACCTCTCGGGCGCCGCGGCCTTCTCAGAGCACTCCGCAAACGCTCTGCCAGCGTTTCCGAATGCCCTGGACCGGACTTGTCCCCGTCCTCGCCCCGCCCGACTGGGGCCCTCCTCCGATCCCCGGCTGGCACCCGCCGAGCCCGAGCCGCTGGCGAGCACTCCGACCAGCCCGACGTCCAGATGCAGCCGGACTTCTCCGAGCACCGCCTCGGCGGCGCGCGGCGGGCGGCGCGCGGCAGCTGCAACGAACACGACGACGACGCCGACGATGACGCCGCCGACGACGACGACGACGACGACGACGACGACGACGACGACGACGACGACGACGGCGACGACGACGACGACGACGACGGCGACGACGACGACGACGACGGCGGCGGCGGCGACGACGACGACGGCGTTGACGACGACGACGACGACGACGACGACGACGACGACGACGACGACGACGACGACGACGACGACGACGACGACGGCGGCGGCGACGACGACGACGACGACGATGACGACGACGACGACGACGGCGGCGGCGGCGACGACGACGACGACGGCGCGGGCGGTCAGCCCGGCACCTCCCGCTGAGCCAGAGCGCGAGCCGCAGGCATGCACCGCCTGGGAACACACATCCACACCTGAGGAGCAGGGAAGCCCCAGTCGAGGTGACGATTCAGGCTTGGTAAGAGGGGACCCTCGAGAGGGGCATCTCCAACCCCACCTGTGGAAAGCTTTCATGTCCCGTAGGTATCCACAGCTACTGAACCCCTGTCCTGGCACAGGGGAGACTCCGTACCTCCCACGTTCCTCCCCATTCCGTCCCCCTTCTGTCCCCTCCCCCTTTCTCCCCCTGCCTCCTCTTCCTCTCCACCTCCGTCATCCCAGACCCGAAGGAGGACGTGGTGGTGGTGGAAGAGGAGGAGAAGGAGGAGGAGGAGGAAGAGAAGGAGCTCTCCAGAGGTCCCTGGAGTTCTTCGCGACGGTCCCCCGAGGTCCCCAGAGGTCAACGAAGGCCTCCAAAGGTCCCACGAGGACGCGCGACGCAGGACGCGCGAGTCCGCAGGCCACTCGGCTGGCCAGCAGGCCCCTTGGGGGCAAAACGGGCGGGCTGGGGCCCTGTCGGAAGCGCACGTGGTCGAGGTCGTTTCCCAGTTACGATTCCCTCCCTGATTGGGTTTCAGCAATATCCGACCAAGCGCTAGAGGCACCACCAATAGTTGACTGAATGAACGTGGTCGCTTGTAGCGGGAAGGGGGATCGAGGAGGAAAGGAGGTCAGGGTAGGTCAGGTCAGGTAAGGCAGTCCTCGAAAGCTTTTCGGTGAGCAGGCAACGGGGGGGAGCAAGCATAACTTCAGCCCATAGCCTCAAAAAATGGCGCAGACGTATCGGAAGAAATTGGCTACGCAGACTCCGTTGGGACGAGGCCCAAGATCTCTCAGGGGTCCAAACCAAAAAAAGGAGGAGGAAGAGGTGGAGCAGCCGGACGAGGAGCGATTGGAGGATGAGCAGGAGACTGGTGGCACACAAAGGGATCCAGGCCCCCAGACCCCTGGCCTGCGACCAACTGCTGCATCTACTGAATCGTTGTTTGACCGCTCCAGGGCCCGGCAACGACCCACGGATACGGAAAATTGCAAAAGAACAATGCGTCATGTGATTCCCAATCATCCTGTGGTGTTGGGTCCTCGTTTTGTAGGGACAGCGCCCCGCGTTCCGTCCTTCCTTCCCGCTGCCCCATCCATCCTCCCATCGTCGTCGTCATCATCAGCATCATCAGCATCATCATCATCATCATCATCATCATCATCATCATCATCATCATCATCATCATCATCATCATCATCATCATCATCGTCATCATCATCACCATCATCAGTATCAGTATCATCATCATCAGCAGCAGCATCATCATCATAATCATCATCATCAGCAGCAGCATCATCGTTATCATGAGCAGCATTATCATAAGTATCAGCATCCTCATCATCAGCAGCGTCATCATCGTCACAGCAGCAGAAGCAGCATCATCATCAGCATCAGCATCAGCATCAGCATCATCATCATCATCATCATCATCATCATCATCATCATCATCATCATCATCATCAACAACATGAACATCAACATCAACATCAATATCATCGTCGTGCTGCTTTTTTCCGACCATCCTGTCGTGTTGGGTCCTCGTTTTGAAGAGACAGCGTCCCGCGTCACCTTACCTCACCTCACCTCACCTCCCGCTGCCCCCTCCCCATCCTCCCTCCTCCCATCCCTTGCCTTTGCTCTCAGCATGCCCATCCCGTTGTGGCAAACCCCTCACACGGTTCGTGGCCCCACGGGGGGCTCCACCGAAAGCCCCAGCGACAGGGTCCGCATGCGGGGACCGCCACCCATTTTCGCACACCCCTCACACGGTTCGTGGCCCCACACGGGGCTCCACCGAAGGCCCCAGTGGCAGGGTCCGCATGCGGGGACCGCCACACATTGTGATACACCCCTCACACGGTTCGTGGCCCCACAAGGAGCTCCACCGAAGGCCCCAGTGGCAGGGCCCGCATGCGGGGACCGTCACCCATTTCGGCACCCCTCACACGGTTCGTGGCCCCACGGGGGGCTCCACCGAAAGCCCCAGTGGCAGGGTCCGCATGCGGGGACCGCCACCCATTTTGGCACACCCCTCACACGGTTCGTGGCCCCACAGGGGGCTCCACCGAAGGCCCCAATGGCAGGGTCCGCATGCGGGGACCGCCACCCATTTTGGCACACCCCTCACACGGTCCGTGGCCCCACAGGGAGCTCAACCGAAGGCCCCAGTGGCAGGGTCCGCACGCGGGGACGGTCACCCATGCTGGTACACCCCTCACACGGTTCGTGGCCCCACATGCGGCTCCACCGAAGGCCCCAGTGGCAGGGTCCGCAAACGGAGACCGCCACCCATTTCGGCACACAACCCAGACGGTTCGAGGCCCCACAAGAAGCTCCACCGAAGGCCCCAGTGGCAGGGTCCGCATGCGGGGACCGCCACCCATTTTGGCACACCCCTCACACGGTTCCTGGCCCCACAGGGGGCTCCACCGAAGGCCCCAGTGGCAGGGTCCGCATGCGGGGACCGCCACACATTGTGGTACACCACTCACACGGTTCGTGGCCCAACAAGGAGCTCCACCGAAGGCCCCAGTGGCAGGGTCCGCATGGCCCCACAAGGAGCTCCACCGAAGGCCCAGTAGCAGGGTTCGCATGGCGTCACCGCACCAATTTCGGCACACCCCTCACACGCTTCGTGGCTCCACAAGGAGCTCAACCGAAGGCACCCATTTCGGCACACCCCTTATACGCTTCGGAAGTCTCACAGGGAGCTCCACCGAAGGCCACAGTGGCAGGGTTCGCACGGCGCCACCGCACCCATTTCGGCACACCCCTCACACGCTTCGTGGCCCCATGGGGAGCTCCACCGAAGGCCCGGTGGCAGGGCTCGCATGGCGACACCTCACATATTTCGGCACACCCCTCAAAAGTTTTCGTGGCCCCACAGGGAGCTGTACCGAAGGCCCCAGTGGCAGCACCCATTTCGGCACACCCCTCACACGATTCGTGGCCCCACAAGGAGCTCCACCGAAGGCTCCCATTCCGACACAACCCTCGCACGCTTCGTGGCCCCACAGGGTGCCCCACCGAAGGCCCCACTGGCAGGGTTCGCATGGCGCCACCGTACCCATTTCGGCAGACCCCTCACACGCTTCGTGGCCCCATAGGAGCTCAATCGAAGGCCTTAGTGGCAGGGTTCGCATGGCGCCACCGCACCCATTTCGGCACACCCCCTATACGTTTCGTGGCCCCACAGGGAGCTCCACCGAAGGCCCCACGGCAGGGTTCGCATGTCGCCACCGCATCCATTTCGGCACACCCCTCACAAGCATCGTGGCCCCATAGGAGCTCAATCGAAGGCTTTAGTGGCAGGGTTCGCATGGCGCCACCGCACCCATGTCGGCACACACCCCACACGTTTCGTGGCCCCACAGGGAGCTGTACCGAAGGCCCAACTGGCAGGGTTCGCATGGCGCCACCGCATCCATTTCGGCACACCCCTCACACGTTTCGTGGCCCCATAGGGAGCTCCACCGAAGGCACCCATTTCGGCACACCTCTCATGCGGTTCGTGGCCCCGCAAGGAGCTCCACCGAAGGCCTCAGAGGCAGGATTCGTATGGCGCCACCGCACCCATTTCAGCGAAGGCTCCGTGGCAGGGTTCGTACGGCGCCACCGCACCTACTTCGGCACATCCCTCTTAAGTTTCGTGGCCCCATAGGGAGCTCCACTGAAGGCCCCAGTGGCAGGGCTCGCATGGCGCCACCGCACCAATTTCGGCACACCCCTCACACGCTACGTGGCCCCACAGGGAGCTCCACCGAAGGCCACAGTGGCAGGGTTCACATGGCGCCACCGCACCCATTTCGGCACACCCCTCAAAAGTTTTCGTGGCCCCACAAGGAGCTCCACCAAAGGCCCCGTCGCAGGGTTCGAATGGCGCCACCGCATCCATTTCGGCACACACCTCACGCGGTTCGTGGCCCCACAGGGCCACAGGCCCACTGGCAGGGTTCGCATGGCGCCACCGTACCCATGTCGGCACACTCCTCACACGCTGTGGCCCCATACGCAAGGTTCGCATGGCGCCACCGCACCTATTTCGGCACACCCCTCACAAGTTTCCCATACGGAGCTCCACCGGAAGCCCCAATGGCAGGGTTCGCATGGCGCCACCGCACCCATTCTGGCACACCTCTCGCACGTTTCAACGCCCCATAGAGAGCTCCACCGAGGGCCCCACTGGCACGCTTCGCATGGCGCCACCGCACCCACTTCGGCACACCATCTCTCACGCTTCGGCGCCACCGCGCCCATTTCGGCACACCCCTCACACGCTCCGTGGCCCCATAGGGAGCTCCACCGAGGGCCCCACAGGCAGGGTTCGCATGGCGCCACCACACCCATTTCGGCACACCTCTCACACGCTTCGTGGCCCCGCAGGGAGTTCAACCGAAGGCCCCAGTGGCAGGGTTCGCATGGCGCCACCGCACCCATTTCGGCACACCATTCGGGCGTTTCGTGGCCCCACAGGGAGCTCCACCGAAGGCCCCGGTGGCAGGGTTCGCATGGCGCCACCGTACCCATTTCGGCACACCCCTCAGGCGTTTCGTGGCCCCACTGGGAGCTCCACCGAAGGCGGGGCTCACAACTGCCGTACTCACAATTGCGTATGGTTGGGTCCTTCGCCAGGATTTGTTTTTGCAGCGCGAGGGTGTCTGCGTCCGGGAGAGACAAGCGGCTCCCAGGCCTATCCCCGGCTGCGTCAGGGCAAAAATGTCGAGGCGGGCCCAGCCGCGCGACGAGTAGCATCCTGGAGGCCCAACAACAGCGACAAAAGGCCAAACCCTCGATGTTCGAAGGTCGACCCTTCGAAGTTCGAATCAGGTAGGTCGTGAAGGCGTGGCAACGCAAGGTCCCAGGGAGACCTCTGGAGGCCTCCGTAGGCACCCCAAGGCCCTGGGAAGGACTCCGAAGGCCTCCGAAGGCCTTCCGGATGCTCTCGGGGGCCTTTCGAAATGGCGTCCCGTCCCCGGCGCCTCGTGTGGTTCGGCCTCGGAGCCGCGCTGGCCATGCAGTCCTCTCTCGCGCGGGCGGAAAAAAAGCGCGCCGCGCCCACCCAGCGCTCGCCAGGCGCCACCGCTTTCGGAAGCGTCGGGCCTTGATCGTCGTCGCCGATGCCGCCGACGTCATCGTCAGCGTCATTGTTCCTCATCATCCTCGTCATCACCCTCCCCGCCAAGCAAGTATCATCCTCCTGCACCCGATCCTCCTCCCTCCTCCTCCTCCTCCTCCTCCTCCTCCTCCTCCTCCTCCTCCTCCTCCTCCTCCTCCTCCTCCTCCCTCCTCCTCCCTCCTCCTCCCTCCTCCTCCTATCCTCCTCCTCCTCCTCCTCCTCCTCCTCCTCCCTCCTCCTCCTCCTCCTCCTCCTCCTCCTCCTCCTCTTGTTTATCCTCCTCCTCCTCTTCCTCCTCCTCCCCGTTTTCCTCTTCCTCCTCCTCATCCTCATCCTCCTCTTATTCCTCCTCCTCATCATCCGCCTCCTCCTCCCCCCATCATCATCATCATCATCATCATCATCATCATCATCATCATCATCAGCAGCAGCAGCAGCAGCAGCAGCAGCATCATCATCATCATCATCATCATCATCATCATCATCATCATCATCATCATCATCATCATCATCATCATCATCATCATCATCATCATCATCATCACCATCATGATCATCATCAGCAGCAGCAGCAACAGCAACAGCAACAGCAACAGCATCATCATCATCATCCTCATCATCAGCAGCAGCATCATCACCATCATCATCATGACCACCACAACCACCACCATCATCATCATCAGCATCAGCATCATCATCATCATCAGCAGCAGCATCATCACCACCACCACCATCATCATCATCATCATCATCATTGTCATCACCATCAGCGTCCTCATCCTCACAATCACTCACATTACCAAACCACCTACACAATCATCACCATCATCATTCCATTGTTTATCATCATCATCGTCACCATCCTCATCACCATAATCACCACTATCATCAACACCATGATCATCGTCGTCGCCGTCAACATCACCACCATACTAACGATCATGATCACCAACACCATCATAACCATCATCATCGTCACCGTCATCAGCACTACCCCATTAGCACTAGCACCCTGATAAACATCATATTCAAAAATCACCATCAGAATCGTCATCACCCTGCTCATAATCATGGTCCGTCCCCTCCTCATCATCATATTCCCTTATTTCCTCGTCCTTCTTTTCCACATCCTGATCACGAATCCTCTGCCATACTCCTGCCCTTCCACGGCGAAGAGAAACGAAACAGAAAGAGAGGAGGAAGAGGAGGAGGAGGACGACGACGATGACAAACTAGAACTGGGTGGGTTGGAAGCTTGACGAAAGAAATCATGGCGGCAATAAGATGTAGAATTGCGGGCCTTCCAATCCATCAATATTCCTTGCACGCGCCAGCGCTGCAGCCAAACGGCGGCAGAGCATTCAATTTGAGTCGGGGTTGCGCGGGCGATCGATCAGCTCTGGAAGAGACGGGGGAACAAAGAGAAAGGAACCAGAACTGTCCAATCCTAAGCACACTCAGAACTCAGCAACGATGCCCTATCGTTGTCTGGCCTGACGGCGCGGCACGGCGGAAGGCGGGCTCAGCAGCTGTCAGGAGGTCCTTCGCGTTCATAGAAGCGGCACTGAAGGAGCTCACGCGAGTAAAAGTGGTGTGCGTTCTACCAGGCCGCATCTGCGCATGCTCAATGACCCCTGAACCGCAATCAAAATTTCTGAAAGCCGATCATAGATGTCAGGCGAGGCGGGTGGCCCTGGGACACGTGAAAACGCCAGACTGAGCGCGACGGAACCTTGACCAGGTCGGTTTGGAGCAGGTGGAACAAGAAGGATGTCCACGAGGGACGCGAGTCCTTTTTGCACGATCGCCTCAAGCTCACCGCGTCAGTCGCAGTCACGAGGGCAAAAACTGCCGCGGCCACGCATCCGCACCTCCTCGCCGGGCGTGCCGGGCGCGGCACTGCCCTCTGGTGACTTCTCGCCCCCGCCAGCGTCGGCCGCTGAAAGCGACGACCCGGCCGCGCGCCGACGCTCGGCTGGGCCGCGAGGCCAGGCGAGCCCACGGTGGCCCGACGACGCGCGCGCGGCCAGAACGATGGCAGCGGCGACAAAGGAGGGCCTCCACCTGGCGGCGCTGTCCTCGTCGCTGCCGCACTCCATCGCCCCGCCCCCCTGCCCGAGCCGCTTCTGCTGCTGCAGGGGCCGCTGACCACGACGCGGCGGGCCACTCAACCTGCGCCCATCCCGCGGCGGAAGGGGGCGCGGCGACCGCGGCGCGCGACCGCTGTCGGAGGCCGACGACGACCGGGGGGCAGACTTCTGAGGGCCGCTCTTGCGGCCGGGCAGCCCCTCGGCAGCTTCGCCCGCGGAGAGAAGAGGGCCTCGGCTGCGGCCTGGCCCGCTTCACAGGTCGACAAGTTGTCAATGCCAGCGGCGTTCGAACCCCTCCTGAGGGGCCCACGGAAACCAGGCCTTGAACAGCGTCGCGCTGAACAATGGTATCCTGACGGAGATGGGCCCCTCGCTGACGGTCGGTCTCGCGTCGGCCACCCAGCCCGCTGCGCAGCGAGCTTCGCGGGCGCAGGCTGCGCGCATCACTGGCTCCATGACCCTAGCCACAGGAAAAGGCGCTATCGCACCGCCGTCGGCGCGACGGCGTCGCTGATGCGCCAGTCAATGAGGAGGGCGCACACTGGCTGATTTGCCTCGCTGCACGGCGACAGCGGCGACGGGGGGCGCCCCCGCCACCCCCCCCTCTGCACTTCTCCTGCGCCGGGGGCGGCACCTCTGGTGGAGGGGGCGCCACCGCCCGCGCAGCAGGCTCAGCTGGGATACACGCGAGGGCGCGCGGCGCCGGACATGGCGGGCGAGCGGCGGCGACGCGGCGCGCGGGGGAAGGCGGGCGACTGCGCGACCGAATGAGTAGACCCCGCAGCTGCCATTTCCCGCCCGGCCGCGCATTCTGACCGACCCCTCCAGCATCGCCGCGCCCGCGGCGACGGCAGCGGCATCATGGGCGGCGCGCCTGGTGACCTCACCTCACTGGGCGCGGGGGCTGCGCCTTCGGGCGATCTGGCGGACGCGTTTCCGACCGGACGCGTTTCCGACTGGCGATCGGGCGCATCGGGCGCCGATTCTGATGAAGGCGTCCTCCTCCGGAGCCCTCTCCCCGGGCATGCGGCCGACGCGCGCGGCGGCGGGCGGCCACCAGCGCGCGTCGGGATCGCGCGCACGGGCCCGCCAGCGCACGAGCCTCACGGCGGGACTCCGAGCGCCAGGGCCGACAGGCGCGCGCGCCTGCCGTTGGTGAAGCGGCGGCGAACCCGCCTGCCCCTCTCTCTCTCTCTCTCTCTCTCTCTCTCGCTCTTTCTCTCTCTGCCAATCCCAACTGACGCCATATTTCCCGCGCCCGCACACACGCACACACACACACACACGCACACGCACACACACACACACACACACACACACACACACGCACACAAACACAAGCACGCACACACACACACACACACACACACACACACACACACACACACACACACACACACACACACGCACACACACACACACACACGCACACGCACACACACACACACACACACACACACACACACACACACAAGCACACACACACACACACACACACACACGCGCGCGCCATCTGCGTACATCTGCGCCAAAAAGCGCCCAAAACTACACCTGGAACGCCGCGCTACAACACGCGCACAAGCCAAGGCGCACATGACGACGAAGCCCCCGAACACAACAGGGATGAGGAAGGATGCCTGGCCAAGGGGGATGGAGCACGGCGCAGTCCCGATCGCAGTTCATAGCTAGTACCATGGCGCAGGCGGGCGCCCCAGGGTTGGAAGCACAATGACTGCGCAGGCCGCGTCGAAGGCGACGGCGCACGGCGCGCGCGCGCCCGCTGGCGGGAGCCACCAGCTACGCGATGGAGAGCAGATCTGTCGATGCTGCCCTCGGCGAGCCCATCGGCTGCCGCGACCCGCATGTCTTCCCAGCTCAGGGCCCACAGTTGACGCGGGCACAGGGGGTCGCGCAGCCAGAGCACACGCGGCAACAACGAGTGTTCTGCGGGGGGCTTTGGTCGGGCAGCCGAAGCGATTGCGACCGCGCCCATGGAATCCAGGCAGAGTTCTATTCGCTGTGCGAGTGGCCGTCGGCCACCTCGCTGGCGACGCCTGGCCTCGGGGCCGCACGGGCCCGCGATCCCCTCGCGGAGCGTGGCGGCTAGAGCGAGGCCGCGATAGGTCGAGCACATCCCAGCCGCCAGTTCACTTGCGAAGGTGCTCGCGTCACCGTCTTGAGAGCACAACGCCACCAGTCCAGCAGGTGGAACGCCTGTCCACCAACGAAAGCACGTTGGCTGTCTGCGTCCGCGGTGCCCACGCGCAAGAAAGGTGGCCCCTCGGAGCGCACGTCCTGCGTCAACGCCTTTTCCTCGACGCTGCATCACTGTGTACTTCTAACTTACATGCACAGCGCATCGGCGGAGAATGGATCCTCAGTGGCTTGGCAGGCGCCCACCTCACTAGAATCTTGAGCTTGCGCATGCGGCCGCATGTCGGGGCTGCCGCGTGGCGCCAGAGTGCTACCACGTTGACATGCCAGTCAAAACGTGCAATGAGGGCGAAGGCGCAGGCCATAAGCAAGCTGAGGTACAGTTTGGCTAGACCTTCGGGGGAAAGCTCTGAATTCGCCTTGGCAACGAGCTCAGCATTGACGATCGGATTCAAGGCCTGGGTGTAGTCGACTTGGTCAAGCTCGTATCCACAGTCGTGCGTGGGTGACTGTCGTGCCCCGCAGCACGTGAAGGTCCCTTCTCTGCTGTCCAGCCCACCCTTACCGAAGGCATCTTCTAAACACTTACGTAGTTTGGCTTTCTCGTGAGGCAGTCCTTCTATTTTGCTACCACCAGCGTGCTATTTGGCCTGCAGGACGAGCTCGCCATCTTGATATTGGGCGATAAACTCGCCGTCGTACAATACAGGGATGGTTTGGCACATGTTGTTGGTGATCTTGGTGACCTGGATGGACCAACATCTCGGTGCGTGCGCTTGCAGCCGGTGCCTGGCGTGTGCATGTGAAAGATCTCAAGCGCTTGGCAGAGCCCAAGAATAACATCGCGCTCCTCCTCACCCGCAGCCTCCACAAGTTCCTGGTAGCTGGTTCCTTCCAAGAAGGCCTTTCGACATCCGACGCATCGACCGGCCATCCTCGGCAAGCCGCCTCAGGTACGACCACTCGCTGTGAGAGTCGTGATGAAGTGCCGACATGTATAGTCATGAGATCAGCGTCGATGTCTTTGAGGCCTCGGATGATCAGCCTCATGCGGATGATCCGCATCATTTGTGGGGTATATGTTTACTTCATGTCCACTTACACTTGCCTACCCCCCCCCCCAATCAAAGATGTTGCGTATCCCTCGTCGCGGAGCCGTGAGAAGCAGTTGCGTTCCTTTCATACTTGGAGCTCCTCGAGCACAGCGGCTTGTACTGCTGCGTGCTCTCGGAACGATTCGGGGGGTGAGTAGATCGGCGTCACAATCAAACACAGCCTTCTTGGACCCTGCCACGTAGACCTGGAGGCGCGCACACTGTCCGCTTCAGACCAGATGGTCAAGAATAAGATTGTGCATGTCGTCTGGGGCAAACATCACCACGTAAGCATTACCGTCCTCGTCGACCTCACTGGCCTCCGATGTAGAGAAATTTGTTTGAGGAAGGTCTGGGGGCTCTAGGTGTCCAAAATTCGGGAATGTGTTCCCACCTCCTCCCCCTGCTCCTCCTCCTCGCCCTCATCATCATCATCATCATCATCATCATCATCATCATAATAATAATCATCATCATTACCAGCACCATCACCGTCATCAGTAACCTGGCATTAAGATTCACAACCCTGCCCCTGCGAATCATCCGAATCATAATGCTCCATCCTCCTGCTCCACCTCCTCCTCTCATCATTATTATCATCACCATCATCACCATCATCACCATCATCATCAGCATCATCAACATCATCATCATCAGCATCATCATCAGCATCATCATCATCACCATCATCATCAGCATCATCATCGTCATCGTCATCATCATCATCAGCATCATCATAATCATCATCATCGTCATCAGAATCATCATCATCATCATCATCATTATCATCATCATCAACAACATCATCATCATTATCACCAACATCATCACCATCATCATCATCAACATCATCATCATCAGCATCATCATCATCAGCATCATCATCCACCATCTCATTCTCCCGCTCCTTATCACCATTCCCTCTCTTCCAACCTTCTCCTCTTGCCTATCCGATCCTCCTCATCATCCTCATCACACTCATCCTCCTCCAAGTTCTTGTCGTCGTCATGATCATCCTCATCGTCGTCATCGTCGGTATCATAAGCATCATTTTCCTCCTCCGACTCCTACTCCTCCTCATCCTCATCCCTCCCTCCCTACCTCCTGCCTTCCCTCCTTCCCAACAGCCGCCCCTTCCACCACCAGCCCCTCCCTCTTCGTCCTACTTCTCCTGCTCCTCTTCTTCTCCTCCACCAGCTTGCTCCTCCCCATCCGTCGTCGCAATACCACCACCACCACCACCAGCATCATCATCATCATCATCATCATCATCATCATCATCATCATCATCAGCAGCATCATCAACATCATTATCATCATCAACAGCATCAGCATCATCATCATCCTCACCACCACCACCACCATCATCATCATCATCATCGTCATCATCATCAGCAGCATCATCAGCATCATCATCATCAGCATCATCATCATCACCACCATCATCATCATCATCATCATCATCAGCATCATCATCATCATCAGCATCATCAGCATCAGCATCAGCATCATTATCAGCAGCATCATCAACAACATCGTCCTCATCATTATCACCATCATCGTCAGCATCATCAGCAGCAGCATCGACATCATCATGAGAAGCAGCAGCGACAGATCATCAACATCATCATCGCCATCAGCATCGCCAGCATCATCACCATCGTCGTCATCATCATCAGCATCATCATCATCAGCCTCAGCATCATCAGCATCATCAGCATCAGCATCAGCCACATCATCAGCAGCAGCATCATCGTCACCATCATCATCGTCAGCATCAACAGCATCATCAGCATCATCATCAGCAGCATCATCATCAGCATCGTCATCGTCGTCATCATCATCATCATCATCAACATCAGCATCATCATCATCATCATCATCATCATCATCATCATCATCATCATCATCGTTATCATCATTGTCATCATCAGCATCATCAGCATCATCAGCATCGTCATCATCATCATCACATTATCATCAGCCGCATCATCCACCTAGTCCTCCTCCTCGTCGTCCTCCTCGTGGTCGTCGTCAGTGTCGCCATCATCATCATCATCATCATCATCATCATCATCCTGAGCATCATCATCATCACCACCACCACCATCATCATCGTCGTCATCATCATCAGCAGCATCATCATCAGCATCATCAGCATCATCATCATCTTCAGAAGCGGCATCGTGGTCATCAACAGCATCATCAGCATCAGCATCAGCATCATCGCCATCGTCATCATCATGAACATCTCCAGTATCGGTCTCATCATCATGACCCCCACCCCCAATGCCGAAAAGAACCGAACACCTCCTCGTCTTCCTAATCCTGCTCCTCCTTATCTTCCTCTTTCTTCTCTTCATGTACCTCGTTGCCATCTTCCTCTACCTCCTCCTCCTCCGCCTCCTCCTCATCCTCCTCATCCATATCATCCTCCTTCTCATCCTCATTCTCGTGTTATCATCATCCTGCTAATCCTTCTCCTCCTCCTCCTCTTCCCCCTCTTCCACCTCTTCCTCATCCTCCTAGTCCTCCTCTTCTTCTTCTCCTCCTCCTCTTCATCATCGTCGTCATCATCCGCACAATCAGCATCATTGTAATCATCATCATCATAATCATCATCATCATCATCATCATCATCATCATCATCATCATCATCATCATCCTCATCATCGTCATCATCATCAGCCTTCCCTCCTCATAATCCTTCTCATCTCTCCTTCTGTTGAGCCTCATTCGTCTCCTTCTCCTCCTCGTCCTCCTCGTCCTTCACCTCCTCCTCAATATGGGCCCCCCCTTGCATCTGAGCGTCATGAAACAAATCACAGAGGACACGACGGGCGTCTTTGCTCCGCTTCGGGCTGCGGGACCCTGGCGGATCGGTCGGGCTCGAAACACAACGTCTAGAAAAGAGGGCGGGAGCCCAGCTCAGGCGAGCGACATGTGTTCCATGTCCCTGTTCTTACCACTTGCCTCCGATGGGCCAGGACGGCGGCATGGACAAGAAGTAACACGCTGGCAACAAAAAAAGCTTGTCTGATTCACCATGCCGCCAGAAGTGAAGGGTGGAACGCCCATGGCCGCCCGGCAGCTTATTCGGGTGTTCAAACCATCGTGGTTTCGAAGAGCCCCAGAGGCCGGGGTGCCGCGAGCGAGCCTGCGCACTGCTCCCATGCCCGTGCCGTCGAAGAACAATGGGGATGTGTCGGGACACACACGGCCTCGCAGCCGTATGACCCCGCCAACGAAAAAAACATAAAAAATGCGAGAGAGGCAGGAAACCTCCCCACATGGACTCAATAACAAACAAAAAACAAAAACCCTAGACGAAACCAGTGAATACCGTAATACGGAATCGACATTGCGAATGGCACGAGAGAAAAAAAGGAGCATGTAATATGGAAGCTCTACAACGCACGTGGCACCATACAGGGCACAAAGCAGCATGCAAGACCCAGGATATAGATCACAGACGTGAACTCAATTCAAAAATGGGGCTAAGAGACAAATACCGTCACGTTGCTGAAACTTGGTGGCGTCCTCTTCGAGCCCGTTGTCACAAGCCACGTCTCGCGTCTGGCGGGTGGCGGCAAAGTCTTTCACGGAAGGGCAGTGCACAATCCTTCCTTATGCACAATATCGTGCACACATGCCCTAACATCAACACGCGCATACACACCCGTACACGTAGACGAAAACATGCAATACACGTACGCTCAACACCAGCATGCCCGCGTGCAAGCAATCGCCAGGCTCACTTACACATGCACACACGCACACACAAGCGCGATCATGATCACGATCAAGATACATACATGTGAACGCGCTCGTTTACGAGCAACGAACCTGTACGAAGGTACAAGCACACACACACACACACACACACACACACACGACATGCATACACACACGACATGCATACACAAGCGCTGCCCATATCTTCATGAACTGGCGGACTGCAGGACAGGCCCCTACGATCATCAGAGTGAAGCGCGCATACACAGAACCAAAAAATAACGAGCCAAGGCACCCTCGGATGAGCCAGCTACAGCAACGGCACAAAACTGGTGACCCGTCAGCCGACATGGTCAAGCCATGGCGACCAGGTGTGCCCCCAAAGGGGGCTGGGCGGGGCAAGACCGTCCCGTGGCGAAGGGCCCCAGGAGGGGGGGGTGTTGGAGGCCTGGAAATGGGCACCAACACCAACACAGGGGGTTGCCTCCACAGGGGGAAGATGATCCTAGATTTCGGTGTTGGTGGCAATATTTCGGCCACCTTGGAAGCCAGAAAATTACCGCCATCACCGAGATCGGGATCTTTTTCCCTCGGTGGACGTACACCGCCGAAATTGGTGTTGGTGTCAACCTTTAGGTCTGCGAGGGTGGTGCAGGGTGCAGGTCCGAGAAGAGGGCCATCAAGCAGCAGGCTCCGCCGTCCTGGGGGGGGGCGGGGCGACCCGAGGGTGAGGTCGAGGAGGGAGGAGGAAGGAGGAAGGAGGAAGAGAAGGAGGAGCAGGAGCGTCATCGCCGCCCCCCCCCTCCACACCAGCCGGCGTAGACATCCGACGTCGCAGCCGCTTCGTGACTTTGCTCCGCCGAGGTTCGCTCGACTCCTTGCCCGAGACCAGCTCTCATTTTCGATCCTCGAAGGGTCACAACAGGGCAAGGAGGGCTCCAGAGAGGGGGGGAAAAAGGACTGGGGGTAAGGGGGAAGGGGAAGGGGAGGAGAAAGAGGACCCAGCATTGGATGAGGCCACGGCCCGAAAAAAAAACCTTGGAGGCAACAGGAACGAAGCCTGATGCCAGAAATACCCACATCCACAGCTGCTGGAATCCTGCTATGGACCACCAAACAAAAATGGATATGGATATTTCCACACACCCTCAGCGGCAGGCAAATATCCATACGCACCACTCTTCGACATGTCATCGGGGTCCTGGGGCACGACCACGAGGCGGTGGACACGGACAGTTGTGTATGCATCGGAGGTTGGAGGGTGAGTTCGAAGTGAACCGGAGACCCACCACCAAAAAAACAGTTTCGGTTTCGCGTTTGCGTCGTGCGCGCGGGCGAGACGAAGCTGCGTGAGCGGGCGACAAGAGTGGACCCGCCGTGGCTAAGGCGAAACTGCGCTCAATGACTCTACGCCCCCCAATTGACCGGCCCCGTGGCACCCCGTCCCGGCTGGGGGGGCATAGCGGCACCCTTCGTTTGCACGTTTTCATACTGCTGAAGAAGATGACAGCGATGATGATGATGCTTGGGCCCTCGACGACGCAGCTAACGATCAGAGGTTAGGGGGTGAGATCGCAGTGTAACGGAGTCCCCCCACCGGGAAATCGAGTTTCGAGTTCGTGCTCGCGCCGCGCGTGCGGGCGGGGCGAAGCTGCGTGGGCCAGCGAGAGGAATTCACCCTGCTGTCGCTAGGGGTCCGCCAACACAAATGTTTCCCCCCCAGCCTTGTCAAGCGGTAGCCCACGTTGTCCCGTCGGTTGCCCGTCGGTTGCCCGCCGGTAGCCCACGTTGTCCCGTCGGTTGCCCGTCGGTGCACCCATCGTCGACTGGGACGTCGCGGGCTGAGTGCCGCGTCGCGCAGCGGCAAACCGAACGACACAAGCCGCCCAAGCGAAGGAACAAAAAAAATCCGCCACGTCATCCACACCATCATCGCCCATCAGCACCACGTTCATCACAGTTGTCGTCATGAGCCACCCCCCTCCCCCCACCCCCCCCCACAACCTCCTTATCACCCGCACGGTGGTCGCATAGGTAATGCATACAGAACTGAAACCGCATCCACTCTTTATACGATGGCCCGTCGGGCCCCCGCGGCCGCGGGCGCGCCCGAATCACGACGCGGCAGAAATGCGCACGCCTTTGGGGAGAGGCACGCCGTATTGCTTCTCATCCATCAGCGCGTGGTCGACGCTGAGGTAGCAGCGCGCCTGGAACTCGCCAATCGCGCAGCGCCATCTCACGCGGCCCAAGTGGCTCGCGAGCTTGCCGCCGTATTTCGTCTTCAACCACTTCTTCAAGATACCCCGCTTGCTCTCGATGGCTTTGGTGGTGAACCCTTCGGCGCGCACGATCTCGCCACCCTCGCAGTCCACCAGCTCGCGGCGCGCAAAGTGTTCTGCGTGAGCCCCTCCCAGCGGCGGATGGTTTTTACGGCTGGCATGGTTGCGCCCCACTTGTCCGACACAAAGGCATCGCCCTTGCTGAGGTTGAGCATGTCGAGGTTGCCCCTTCCTCCATTGCGCCCGCGGGGCCGACCGCCCTTCGCGTCTGCGGGGTGCTGCAAGATGCGGAGCGCGAAGTGCGGGCGGGCTTCCCCCTGCAGAACGGCGCACCATATCCAGATCTGGCCCTCATCAGGAAGCGCTGCCTCGCTCAACTTTCCCGGCTTGCTTTTGACCCGGAAAGACTCGTTGGCAACGAGGACGCGCTTGACGATCGCCTTCTTGACCTGCTTCGCAAACTTCTCGGAGATTTTACGCGCGGGTTTCTGTCTGCGCGCGGGCGGGCGCGACCTTCATGGCGGGCGCTTTCCCCGGCGCGGGTCGAGCCGCGGGCCGCTTGAGCGCGCCACTCTCTGTCGCCCACGGCTTCTTGATCGAGTTCAGGCAGACGAGATCACAGCAGTCGCTCGCGCGCTTCCCGAAGGCGAGTAGCCAAGCATTTATCACCTCGCGGTCGACGCGGGACAGCTCGAATCTGATTTTCTTGTGGCTGTAATCAGCGAACCACATCACCAAGCAATCAAGTTTGCCCATCCAATGCCCCGCGCGCGTGCCATCGAAGAATGTCATTGCAGCGGCGATTGGCTCCTTCCCGTTGCATTCGTCGCAGCCCCCGTCGCGCCGTGGGCCCCGCCAGTTCAGCACCTCTCCGCAATCGCCCCTCGCCCCGCGCTTCAGCGCGCTCTCCGCATCGCACGGAGGGCGCGCCATGTCCTCAGGGGCGAGACCGAACCCCTGGGCAGAAGCGAAAGCTCCCCCAACCTCGTTATATGGCAACACCTCGGCATGCTTGACAGCGGCGAACCTGACTCGCTTAAGGAACCCCCCGCGGTCGACGCCGTCCACGTCCTTGGCGGCAGCGGAGAACTCGACCCAGTTGTCGTGGACGGCCACACTGGTAGAAACGCGCCGTCACCGCAGGGCGCGGGAGACGATGGCCAGGGGGCCACGGCGACCGTTCCAGGGCTGGGCACTGCATCAACAAATTTTACATGACCAACATCGAAGCCGATGCTCTATGCTCTGCCATCAGGGGCGACAGCGACGACGACGGCGGCGACGATGCGACGCTGGCGGCGGCGACGACGGCGATTGGAACGACGAAGACGGCGAAACCTCCCGGGGGCCGACGACGACGACACCACACGTTTTGCAAGGGGGCCACGTGGCTCAAGCATGAATGTAGGATCGCACATGTAGCAAGGAGAGATCCACGACGGACAACGCGCTGCGCCAACGACTCTTCTGGGGAACGGAAGCGCGCGCCACCTCGGCGGCGCGCGCCCTCTCAGAGCCCGGGCCGAAAGCGGCAGCATCGCCCGCACCTGGGCGTTGAACTCCCCCAGCAGCTCAGGTCGCCATGCCACCGCCCTGGCCATCGGCACCGGATGTCGCCCACTGGCGGGCCACACCTGCTTGCGCGCGGTCGAGCTCATCCTGAAAGTCGAGGTGTGCCGCGAGCTCGCCCGCCAAGTCGAAGTCGCCGCACACCGTATCAGGGCGCTAGCGGGGGGCGCAGCGAGGTCAATCTGCGCGCCTGAGTCAGCCAGGTTCTGACTGAAGAACGCCTGCTGGACCTGCGCGTAGATGGCGGCCTGCTCAGCCACGCCCTCGT